ATATTGTCACAGAGAGAAACCACCGCACTGTGCTTAGGCAGCTTCTGCTGTGGCTGTGTGCCTGTGCTTCATACCCAAGGTCCCTGTCCTGTCAAGGGTTAAGCACGCATCCCCTCTGTCACCTATGGTAGCAATAACACTTAACAATGCTCAATAAGAATGCCTTTCCAACTTTCATGCACTCTTTCTGGCTTTTGTTGAACTCTTTTATCTTAGTAATCTCAGTATTCCTGAAAGTATCCTAAAACTAAAACATAGATTTAAAAAATAACTTTAATATAAGTTTTCAATGTAGGTCTGGGCTGAGTAGCACCATAGCTGGTACCAAACCCTTCCACACCCACATGGGTATGGGCATGTGGCTTTCAGCCCAAAGGCTCCACCAATCCCAGGGCATGTCTTGTCCTTAGAGTGAGTGGGTCAGCAAGGAGAGTCTGTAACCCCACACACACACTGGAGGAGGAAGAGGAGAAAGAGTGGTTACAGACCCTCTCTGCTTACATCGAGTTGCATGCATAATAATGTATAATAACCTCTCGCGTCTGTGGCTTCTGAGTGACTCTGCTACCTCATGGTCTTCTTGCAAGCTTGATCTTAAGTCCACCAAGTTATGTCCATGTGGCAGATAGCGTTCATTTCACAGTTTCTCTCCCCATGTTTGTTCTGGTAACAGCATCCTTTTTTTTTGACAGTATCTTCTTTAGTCCTTTCATCCTATTAGGGCTTCATACCATTAGGGGTTGTTTGTTTTTTGATCTGCTTTTCTCCCTGTCCAGGTTTAGGCACAATAGTGAGCATGTGATGTAGATTTTGGCTTAACTAACCCATCATGAGTTCGCATCCCCATGCTCCACTGATTGGTCCAAAGGATGAGCAGTGATCCAAGCCAGTCCCACCACCACCACCACCACCATCATCGTCATCACCAGAGTCCCTCCCTGCCTGTTTGTTGAAGGACAGCTTGGATGCTCAGGTTGCAAACATATGATCTTAGGGGATGCTAATGGCCAGGTCCCTGATCTGGAAAAAAACTAATAAAAGGATCTGTCACACTGGGAGAAAGGGAGAAATGGAGAAAGCCTCTAGGAACTGGTTCTTGTGATTGTTTCCTGGAGTGTCCTGGTTCTTGCTTTCCCTTCGCTGTTCAGCTCTTCCTGAACAGTTTATAATTCTACAAACTGCCACAATAAACCCCCCTGTGCTCATGTTAGTGCAACTTGGACTTCCTTTATTTTAAATAAGAACAGTGAGGATGGAGAGATGCAGACACCCATATTTTCCCGTGGAAATCCAATTTCTCAGGTGAGGTTTTCCTGGTTTTGAGGGCTTGGACAGTATTTTCCCATGCGCACTCACTGAATGATCTCATTGAAAGGGGAGAAAGAGTGACGGCCATGCTTAGACCTTGAAGTTTCCCCTTACGTCAGTTTCTTTCGTCCTTAAACTCAGTTCTTAGTATCATCTTTCTCTTTCTAAAATATGTACAGATTGTCCTCATAAACATTAAACTTGAGGAATAATGAAGAAATTCAATGTTTACAATAAGAATATCATTGGATGACATTCCAAAACACACACAGGTAATGACAGCACCAGTACCTTGTGAGTGTTTTTTCAGGAAAACGGAGAAATGTGCAGTGACTTCATCAATTAAGCTGGGCCTTGGACAAGTCCCAGGCAGTGTATGAGAGCCTGGAGTGCTCTGGACATCCTGTCCCCATCCCAGACAATCATGGCACTCGGAATCAGGCAGTAATTTAGCAATCTTCTCCAAGGTCCTTCGACTTCCATTTCAGAGCTGCAAAGAATATTTCATTATTTTAGCAGTTAGAAATTCTCACTGGTACTTGTTGAAAGGCCAAAACTGTACCATGAAGTGACAAAACTTGGTCATAATCTAGAGTACTGTATTCTTGAGCAAAACTAGTTTGTTTGTTTTTTTTTTTTTTTTTCCACAAAAACCTGTAAAACAACACAAATGAAGACGGTCCAGCCTGTGGTCGTTTGGTTCCACTGTTTCTGGGCCTGTGGTGAGGCAGAGCATCATGGCAGAATGGTGTGAGGGAGAGAGAGACAAAGACAGAGGAGAGAGACAGAGACAGAGACAGAGATATATATATAGAGAGACCCAGGGAGAGAGAGACAAAGACAGAGGAGAGAGACAGAGACAGAGACAGAGACAGAGATATAGAGAGAGAGAGACCCAGGGAGAGAGAGATAGACAGAGACAGACTGAGAAGGACAGAGAACCAGGGAGAGAGAGCAAGGGAGAGAGGAGAGAGAGAGACCCAGGGAGAGAGAGAGACCCAGGGAGAGAGAGGCACGGGCAGGAGCACAGGCTTCCAGATTATGCCCTCCGTTACCCAGCCACGAACTCATCCATGCATGAATCCACTGCTTAGCACAGGGCCCCCATGGTCTGATTGCCTTCCAAGAGCTCCACCTCTGGGCACATTAGCTTTTGGGGGAATGTTTCAGATCAAACCATTACATCGCTCTTCCACTGAGCAGAGCTCCTCAACACCCTGCCCCTCTGGATGCACCACGGGCTCTGTCATGGGCCTTGTTGTCTACTTGTGTGGTACAGTTTCCAGTTGGCTGTGAAAATCTTTGATGCATCTGGCAGCCCGTCCGTGGTAATAATACAAATTCTGAAACACTAACAGGGAGAGCTTTTAATGAACACTCCAGACACGATGCTGAGTAACTCACTGGCTGAGTAACTGGCACCTTGTAGGCCATTAATATGTTTGTTACAACTACTTTTGATAGCCCCATGAACTGGGTTTCAGAAAGTGGTGTTATTACGATTATCTCCACTTTGTAGATAAGGAGACTGTGAGGCACAGGGACTTACATTGCTTGCCCAAGGTCAAGAAACTCTGTAAGGACCAGGGACACAACTCGATCCCATTCTAGTGGACACCAGTATTGGTCCACATTCTTAACCATCCTAAAACTGACTTGCTAACTGCATGCACACTAATCAATCCCTTTTGCAACAAATTGCCCTTTAAAGTACAACTGCCTTGAAGATACAGGGACAAGTTACAAATATTTGTATTTTCTCTAGAGGTTTTCCTTTTGAAAGAGGCCACCAAAATATGTGTCCTTAGTGAGAACAATGGGTTTTTAATACTTTTCGTTGCTAAGGAGCTGACTTTTTGTTTTTAGCTATAATGTGTTGCTTCCTTCTCCCTATGTAGTTGTATTTTATGCTCACTTCGGAGCACATTTACTATTTAGTTATATATTTTTTAGTATTTCTCAGTCAGCAACACATCATATCAGCACTGGTACAAAAAACGAGAGTGCACCAGGGGCTGAGCAGTAATAAAATTTTGTGAGTGGTGCTCGCTTCAGCAGTACATATTCTAAATTTTGTGAGTGTACAAGGGGTTTTTTAAATATGGGATAGATATCTAATTTTTTAAAAAATCTTATTACAGTGAAAGACACATTGCCAGTGGTGGGGTCAATGCGTTTGAAGTGGGGGAATTACTCTGAGTATTCTGAGGAGGATGAACTACAATGTGTTTTCTACTGTAGTAAGTATTTCTTTTAAACATCACCATATTTCCGATCGCCCATAGATTAACCATTTATATTTTTTTCTGCCCAATAACAACAAAATGCTGAGTCTTTGTCTACCTTATTCGCCAGACCTGGCACTGTGCAATGTCCAGCTCCCCCTCAAAGTCAGAATGAGCAGAGTGCTATGAATAGATTCAGGACCTCCAGGCACCTGGGTCAGCGCAGCTAAAGACCCTCAGGAGAGAGGACGCCAGAGCTGCTGCAGGACGGGGCCGGCAGGGTGGGAAGAGTGCGTGCAAAGGGAAAGGGAGAATTCTGAGGGGCATGAGTGGCGATGTGCCTTTTACTACTTTTTTAAACAATTAGACATTCACCACATTTTCGATCACACTTCATAAGAGGAACTGCAGCCCCTTGGTGCAGTGCACCTCCCCAGGCCGCGTGGGAGCGGCTTCCTGTGCAGCTCCCAGGTTCTCTCAAGTCCTTGTGCCCCAGTCCTGGTCAGGCTGGGGACTGGAGGGGGAGGAGCCGGAGGGTGCTGTTCCCTCCGGGGCTCCACAGGCCTCGCCCGGCCTTCCAGCTCCTCTCCTTCCCCTGGTTGAGTCTGCCTGAAGCCACCCAGAGTCCCCGGGCCGGGGCCTGGCGCCCTCTGGAAGACTCGGGTCCCCGGGGCGCGGTCACGTGACCCTCGACCCCAGCGGCCCGGTGCCAAACCCAGTGGCTGGCGGGCCGGCGGCACCCAGATGCCAGCCCTGTCCCCCGCGGGCCCCTGGGCCCCTCCGATTTCCCGGGGCGCACAGGTGGGCTCCAAGGCCCTCGAGCACGGCCGCTTTCCTGCAGGGACCGCGGCTGGCGGCTGGGGGCGCGGCGAGGACCGGGTCCAGGGCGCCCGGTCCGCCCGCAGCCGCTTCCCGGCTCCTCCGCCTCCGCCCCAGAAACGATTCCCAGCCCCGCTCCGCGGGTCCTTTTGTTTCTTTGTGTTAATGACAGTTCCCAGCCCTTGGGCATGTCATGCGCAATTAATTCCCTGGCTCCCTGGAAGGCAGCTGGGGTGAATTTTTTTTTCTGCATCATCCTTTTGGGGATAATTGTTGATGATGTGACGTCAGCGGATTGGTTTTTTTGTGCTGAATGAGAGAGAGAGAGAGAGAGAGAGAGAGAGGGAGGGAGAGAGAGAGGCACAGATGTGCGCAGAGGCCACAGACACTGACATTTGAAAATTTGGAATCCAGGGCAAAACCAGATGGGAATCGGCGCATACCAGCGTGCTGCCAGACTTGAGGCTGCGTGGGATTATTAAGAAGTTTTTCTTAAAAAGAAAAGCAATCTCCTCCGCAGCGCCCACCCCGCGCCCTTGCCGGCCGGCCCGCAGGTGGCCCGCGCGCTCCAGGTGGGCACGGAGGCCCTGCGCCCGGGCTGTGTCAGGAGACGCGGCCGTGCCATGTGACGCGGGCCAGCGGGAAGGGATTGGCCGAGGCGGCGCAGGCGGCGCAGGGCCGGCTCCTGCCTCTGCCTCCCTCCCAGCATCTTCCCGGGAGCCCGAGGTGCAGCCGCATCCATGGCCCGGCTCTCGGCGTAACCCTGTCTCCTTTGGGCTCCGCAGCGCACAGAGCGGACCTGCAGCGGCAACAGCAGCGGCGTGGCCAGGCGCTGGCCGGGACCTGCGAGCGTATCCTCCTGGGCTTTCTCAGACTCTTCGGAAATTAAGGAATGCAATTCCGCCACCATGATGGAAGGTAGGATGCTTGCCGCTGCTGTGGTTGGCTGGCTGGCTTGCGGGCAAGGTCCCGGCAGAGCGGCCTGCGAGATGGCTGCAGCCGGCCCGGGTGCTAGGGCCGTCCTGGAACCTGGTGGCCCGGGTTTTGCACGCGACAGTGCTGCGGCTTGTTTCCAGCAGATCAGGCTTCCAGCTCAGGGAATCGAACCCCAGGGTTCAAGGCCAGCTCGAAACCAACCGAGCGCTTCCTGGCACCGCGAGAGAGCAGAGGCCCAGAGCGTGTGCCGGAAGCCGAGATAGGGCTGGGAGAGAGGTGGGCGAAAGAATAAGTTGGGAGAAAAGATAAGGTTTTCTGTGCCGGGTTCCTGGAACTACGCTGATTAAACATTTACAATGGAAACTTGTTTTCTGAAATTGACGTGAGACAGGGGAGGTCATTGACAGTTATCGTGCTGTCCTGTCCAGCCAAGGGTTTAAGCATTTTTGAAATTCTTCTAAGATATTTTTATCTCTGCAATTTGCATCCTATTATTGGAGCCAACAGTGCAGCACATTTGGGCCATAAACTGTATTTCATGGGGCCGTCATTGCAACAGAAGGAGAATGGAAGGAAAATATCCGGGCCTCCTGGCTTCTGAGTCAGGGTCTTCTCACATTAAAAAACAAATGTGTGTGTGCTTCCTAAATGCTTTCTCCATGCAATGGGTCTTCGCCAAGCATCCAGCGAGCACTTTCTCGTTATCTTTTTTGCATTCAGTATTAAGTGTAAGAGGAACTTTCCCTGGAGAGATTCTGTTTAAACTATATATTATTCTACTAAATCACCGTTCCCAGCCTGAGATAGTGACAGCCAACACTGCCTCAGAACAGCAGCAAACTGATCAGAGAAGAAGCAGGCGGATCTGTGCTGGCTTTGATTTTCTGTTTTCACACTACAGGGTGGTGCAAAACTCCTGGCCTTCCCCAAGATGACAGGCAGAAATTTGTCCCTAGCCTGGATTTTGCAGGGCAGAACTGAATGCATAATGGGTCTCAGATCAGCCATGAAAATGGCAGAGGCCACCTCTGAAGCCAAGGTCTGCCCTACTGACTTCAAACGTTCCTCAGAAATTTACCAAAATAGGCGAAGGGGAGGTGGTTTCCAACCACAGCAACGTACCCGTACTTACGTGTCAGAAATCAATTCCTTTTTCTGCTCTCTGTCATTGTGTCAAACGTTGTTAATGTGATTTGAGGAAGTGAAGAATTCTGGAGTCAAAGCCTATAGATTTTGGGAAATAGCCTTAGAAGCGAGACTGGGCATCATTTTGTTATGGAGCCTGGTCTTGTTTGCAAAGGGATCTCAAGCTGGTTCTTGATACACAGGCCTAAAGAAACGAGGGATGCTAACTCTGTGAGAGTCAGTCATTTTTCATTCATTCAAAATGAATTTGATCTTTGAATCGCAAGGCAAGACAAATAGACAGTCATTTATGGACTTTTCAGTTAAAGCCTCATCTAGCTGATTCTCCTCAGGGAAAAAAAAAAAATCTTGCCTATAAAAGTGCTATGTTCCTCCAGCTAAATTGCATGCAACCTTTCCTACAAATGCATCTGCCCACACTCTGACTAGGTTCTGGTGTTACACAGGAAATGGGAAGATCACTTTCCTTCTTGCCCTGCGAAGGTAGTGACATTTACTGATGCTCCGGTCTGTTGTGCCACCCCAGAATGCCAGGCCAAAGTCCTGCAATGAGCTTATCTAAGCTGCCTAACCTGAAATGAGCACTGAACAAAGACCTGTGCTGGTGTGGGATTAGCACTGTTGCTGGGGTTGCCGAATTTATCTAAGGAAGGATGTTATCTTAGCACTGGCAGGAAGTAAAGGTGACACCGGATGCAGTTGGCTTTGAGGGGAACCTTCGTGAGAAACTGGACAGGTGCTTTCACTGGTTTAAAGATTTAAGTGTACCAAGTAGTTCTTTTGTACCCACAGTTCCTACTTAAAAGCTTTTTGAGCCTTGTTATCTTAATGGCTTAGTGACCTTGGGAAAGCAGGTAGCATCCTTAACCAGAAATCAGTTTGGCTGTCAAAGAATTTCCCCTAGGTTGTCATGTTGGGGGCAATGAATGCTCATGTTTCTGATACTGCAGCCCAGAATTTCGCCTCTGCTCTGCTCTTCTCCAAAGATCCAGTGTGGCGGTTGTTATCTCCACTGAACTCGCCCGAAGAGAAAACCAGGCTGTGCCATCAGTCGCAGTAGCCCTGGAAAGATAGGCTCCCCTACCAGACATCCTAAAATACAGTCGGCGTAGCCCTCTGCCCAAGCAGCAGGGAACCCCAAAACCTTTGCACCATTAAAACAGTGTCCTGTCCCTGCTCACCCAGGTCTCTCTCCCACACACATACATGTGTCATGTGCACATACGATCATCTACACAAACGTCTTTCTAGAGGAGGCGAGAACATGTGTGTGAGCGTGAGTGTGACTGTGGGCATTTCCACATTGCTGGAGCATTGTCTGCTGCTCAGGAGGGCAAGGTCATGACCGCTTTCCAAAGCCCCTTCTCTACTTTGTGTGGAAGAGCAAACAAATATTCAGCAGAATGGCTCGGGGTTTAGGTGCGCATTCTCTCTGTGGAACACGATATAAACTGCACTCAGCCAATGCCTGTTGGAAATTCCAGTCCAAGGGGAGGAATTGTTCCTCCTTCCCCAGGGAGCTCAATGTCATGAAAGGCAGCTTGATCATTCCGCAGGAACTTAAGCAGGGGATCAGGAGTTTGTGTCTCTGTGCTTGTATTTCAACTTTTTATTAAAAACCTGTGTATTTTAAGGGATTTGATTGGTTGTGTCCTGAAGTTTGTATTTTTTGGCAGTGGTTGGTTTTGAGCTGTTTCTTTCCACAAGTGGCTGCTGGCTGAGGGGAAGGTGAGCAGGGCTCATCTGCTCCAGGTGCTGTGTGGCCAGGCACCCACTTAAGGGCTATTTTTTCACATATAATAATCGAACCTTGAAAATTCCATTTTTAAAGCTACCTTTCCGAAGAGAGCTGAACCTAAGTCAGGGTTTTTTAGGATCTCTTCTCATTTGTGCAGCTGCCTGGAGAGCATTTCCCTGTCCATGCAGAACTGGTTGAAGGGATGCATGTTTTCAGTTCAGGCTCTTAGGTGCTGTATTAATGAAAGATAATTTTCTGGTTGTCACTGGCTTCACTCTACAAACCATCTTAAAGTTAATGAGGGTATTTTGGAGTTTAATTACCATTTCAAGTAATAAAATAAATGTTATTGATGTGTTACTTATAATCTACAAATAAGTGTATTCTATATAAAGTAATTTAGAAGTGCCTTTGCTAAATCTCAAAAACAAAAAAAATGTATTAAGGCAGAAAAATATTAGAATGGAGTTTGAAGCCAAGTCCTTTTAACAAGACTCATCTTTTTGATCCTCTAGGATTGTTTTCTTTTTACTTTGTATAAGGGTGAAAATGGTCAGTAAACTAAATGATAGACCTTTATTTCTTTGTTTGCATATTCTATTTCTTTTTATTTTAAATATGAGTACTCAATCATACCTTTCAATTCCTCATTAATGCCTTGTATGTCCAAAATCATTATTTGGATAATATCACATAATTTGCAAATAACTGAACTTTTGTTTCAATTAAGTTTATAAACAAAAAGAGGCTTTTTTCCTATGTAGAAATGGATTTTTATAATATTTGGGAAGTTCTTCAATGTGATTACAAATGGGGCAAAAGATCTTGAAGTGGGGATGGGCGTGGTGGGGCACATCTATAATCCTAGCACTTGGGAAGCCGAGGAAGGAGGACTACTGGTGTTCAAGGCCAGCCTGGACTACATAATGAGTTCAAGGCCAGCTTGTACTACAAACAGGACTCTGTATCAAAAAAAAAAAAAAAAAAAAAAAAAAATCTTGACGTGGGAGCTGTTCCTTTTATAGTTAGCTAAGACATTTAAAGAGAATACTTCCAACTCTACCAATTCCCTTCCCTTAAATGCAGTTATTTTAGAAAATCTAAGCATGCATATGCGGTTCTGTTTTATTTGCCAGTCCATGTTTGCAGTACATAGTGTCTACATTCCGTGTGAGGAGTTGCTATGTGTACATAACTCATCTTCGTTCCTTCTCTCATCCCCCTTAACCCCCTCCCCCCACCTCTTGTGTGGTTTCTAGCCTCTCTCAAGTCTGTGTTAGAAAGAGATGCTTAGATGTGTATATCCCCACCCAATTCCAAAGATCAACTCCTAAGAGTAGTCTTTAAAATAAATCATACTAGAAAATCCTGGGTGACTTTTTCTTTTGGATTTAGCATATAAACTATCAATTTTCAAATATGCAAATCACAGGAAGTCACCAACACACAATTTTTATGCTCCTGAAACTTTCTTTGTGCATTGATTCCTTGGAACATATTTTTCACATAGGAATAATGATATAAATGCTGGTTAATCTTACACTAGTCAACCAGTACCAAGCAGAAATACTAAATGTTGGCCATGAAATGTTTAAAGAATGGTATGGTTTCCATAGTAATTAACTGGAAGAAAAGGATGTAATAAATGTGTTTTTAATTTCAAATATTATTGGTGTTGGATATTGCTGTTAAGACTTCCAGCACAGTTTACCTAAGTGTCTTGGTTATTTTCTCTCATTGCTGGGACAAAATACCTGATGCCCAAAATTAAGGAAGGAAAAGTTTATTTAGCTCACAGTTTGTGAGGTTTCAGTCCATACTTGGCTGGCTCCAAAGCAGGAGGGCTCATGTCAGAGGGAAACAGTTCACGGTGGTAGAAAACAGTAAAAGCATCAAGAGCAAAAAAAGGGAGGAGCAACAGCAAGCAGCCTCTTTCCCTCCCTTATATTGTACGCAGGCTGCCCACCCTGCTACACCCTGTGCAGGGTGGGTGTAGCACTCATGCCCATAATCCCAGCACTCACACCCATAATCCCATTGGATCATGAGTCAATCAAAAACTCTAGAAGCCTGCCCCATGACTGCACGAGGCTTTGTG